AAAATTTTTTTTACATACAATTGTTGATAAAACTAAGCTTTAAAAAATAATCAAATGTTAATATCAGGAGTTCTAGGTGACGTCTAGATGCCTCGTTACCGTTTCACCATGTGAACAAAGCAAATTACCTCAAACTCGTCATGTGAAAACGTTTTCTGTTGCTCTGATGTTCATATTATTCACGCTTTGTTTCTTTAAAACCACTGAACAGTTTGATCAATACTGTGCCGTCCTAGATATGATCTCTCATAAAGTCCATCTGTTCACAACAGGAGACATTGTTCACTAAAAAAAATACACAAAATCAAACATATACTAAAGGTGGCCTCTGACATTTCATTAGCAACTAATCAGATTATTCTGACTGTCGATTAATCTGTCAATTACTGTCCTGATATTCAATTCGCTGTTTGGTCTAAAATGTCAGAAGGAAGTCCATCAGTGTTTCCCAAAGCCCAAAACGACACCTGATGAACATTCCTGTATTTTATTTTAATCGCAGTAGACATCACAGAAGAAACAAAACCCCACAGTGTCCGTTTTCTTCCATGACTGTGCAGCCTTAAATATAATCTTTCTAAAAGCTTAACTGTTCGTATTTGTAGATAAAAGATATTCAAAAGAAAAGCATCGTTTCTAACTGGATGCTGCTGTCAAAGAGCAAATGAGGAGATATTATTGGAACCAACAGGAGGCATTTTTTGTAATATTGCGTCCTATATCATGATAAAATAAAGCAGGTTTTTTTGTCCAGTATCGAGGACTCTGCGTCTCGTAGCGCAGCAGATATTACAACAAGTCGTCGGCGCTCGTGGGAAAAAAGCTCAGCGGGGTAAATCAGATTAGCCTGGTCACCGTGTGTCCAGACCGCACTGATAACCTACATTTAAGAAACACAAACAAACACCACAAACACCGCACAGTCGGACCACACGAACACGACGGTTACTTTACTTTCAGGGTCTGATCTCCGTCCTGAAATTAAAAGCGTCCAGCTAGCTGGGAACCCGACGAGTGTTCTTGACGTGTTCTTTGCGAGGCGGCGAGGGAGGACGTTTCATTAGCGTAAGCAGCTTTTGATTTCTGCCGCTCTGCTCAGCATTCAGAAGCTCTCGGCCCATCTAGACGGACTCGGCGCCGCCACTCCATCGCACCTAGTACATGTCAAGCAGACAAACCTGGACGGGTCACGCTGGGTAAAGAGGAGGCAGGACGGCGCTAACACGGCTTCACGTCACTGTCCTGCATTATCACGACACTTTCCAATAACACCGGCCTGTTTACACGCTGCCGATCTGCAAAACTCAAACGCCGGGCCGACCGCAATCGTGCACGCCGGCCTGATGCTGAGCAGAGAGAGGATCAGTCGACTGAACTCAGCATGTGCGAGTGAGCTGTTGCGAAAAGGGCATATCAGGTGCAGCGCATGCTCCGTGCAGCGTAAACATCTCAGGAGGAGTCGCCTCACAAACCCGTCTCATCACAATTTACATGAGAAAACGCAACATTCCTCTCACGGCAGCACAACAGTGGATATTTGTGACACGCAAACAGACATAAAACTGTCAGGAAGCAGCAGGGCCGGCCGTATTTCTGGGTTATTTCCAGCTATAGGGGTTGACCGAGCAAACACGCTTCTCCTCAAACTGACAAACTCCAGCAGACATGACGGAGCGGATGCAGGCGAGGATTTGAGCGTTTTCTTTCTGGGCATATTACTCTGAACAACCACCAGGATGGATGAGTCTGCAGCTGTTTGGTCGTGGTAAACACACCAAGTCCTCATCCCACGGTACACGTTCTATACTGCTGTAAACAGCGCCGTTCTCCCACCTTATGGGCCGTACAATCACACACAGATCCTCCGGCTGCTGCGACAGGCCGATTCAGACGTGTTCACACATGTACAATAAATGCTCGTCACTCGACGTACGCGCCGACAGAAACTCCGTACAGCGAGGAAACGTTCGGCCGACGCAGCCACGAAGTCGCTGCATCCAAGTCTGCAAGTGCCACAGTTACTTTTAAATGACATGAGATGAATTCACAATTAAGATGATGAGAAGAACAAAAAAAAAATCAAACGTGGATGAAGAAATTCACAATTTATATACTAGAAATGGAATAATGAGCAACACAATGAATATCTTTCTTTAAATCTCTGAAAAGCTTCACATTTGCACCAACCCTCATCCCTAAATGTAAATCTGTGTCGGCCAATATAACAAGAAAACTGGTTTTTAACTTATAAACCACCTAAAAGTAGCCTTGTTTGTGTACCTCTGCCTGGATCACACATGCACGAAAAGATGTGAGTTTTAAAAAACTAAAGGAACACCCAAAAAAACCCCAAAAAACCCAAAGCATTTGATGCCGAAGCAGCAGCTCCAGCACCTTGTTGACTTAAACAGCGACACAAGTTTTCCTTAGCTGGTCCTCAAATACTAAACATTTAAAACTTCAGTGATGAAATTTAATAAAAGTGACTTTAAAGCAGCAAAGTGTGCCAACAGGGGACATGTGCTTCCCATTTTAAAACCAAGGACACCATAACACAAACGGCTACTGTGGAGCCAACCATGTTCTCCTGCAAAACAAACGTCTTCATCATTTTTAAATAAATATATTTATGTAAACAAAACAACCCAGACAGAGACACGCCTTTCACAAACACTTCCCTGATATCTTCGGGGCTGGAAAGTAATGATTTTGAAACAGGTTTAAATCAATATAACGTCCCAAAAAGTCCTAGTTGCACCAGCTAATATTGGTTCAAACATATTAAGTCCTGACTTCAATAATGGCTGAACAATATGCATAAAAACTGAATACTTTTAACAAAAATGCCTGATTGTTAATCACATGTTCTTCAAAAAGAAGTTGCAGCTCCTGAGGTTTGAATATTTCGGTTTTTTTTCTTTACATTGTGCTGACAAACAGGCTCAAGTGGTTAAATTCAAATTAAACTTTTTTTTAATCTTCTGAGTGATTTTTATTTTCAGCTCTCTGTCAGGTGCAACAACTGTGGTGGTTTTTAAAATAAAGGAAAATGCAAGACTACAAGTACTTTTTCCATTAGAGGCACAATATGTTGTTTCCGATTGACAATGTGATGTGTGCAAATTAAAACCAATTAGTTCTCATTTTTCATGACTAAACTACAAGAAGTCTGTCTCACTAAACATCATTTACTCTGATTTAAGACTTTGTGGATACACAGAGCTTCATTCTTTGATTATTCTACTTGATTTTTTAGTTGTGTTGATAAGACACAGAGTTTGTTGACGTGCAGGTTTCACACAGAACCGGAGAAAAGAAACGCAACATCAGCTGTATGGAAATATTTCAGCTCCAGAACGGACGACTCCGACCAAAAACTGGCTCCCTGCACCGCAAGAAGCAACACAACTCATTTGTTTGACCATTTAAATCAACAGCACAAAGCTCTGTAGGACGAAGGCAAAGTCAAATCTGAACCTTATCCAAAGCTAAAACCTACTGTGGATGCCTTCGAAGGCTCCCAACAGCTTTTTCCAATCATTCTAGAGTTCTAAATATTCCCAAATAGAGTTCTTCGAGTCAACTCATGACGATTCCGGTGATTTTTTTGAATCGTAGTGCACATGGCAGAAAAACAAAAACACCACAACGTCAGTTTTTTTTCAATTCTGTGTAAATATGATCCGTCATAAAGTCCAAACGGCATTATTAGTACAAAGACACTGACTTGATTAAAAGACTGAAAATATCTGGCTTATAACTAAATGGTGCAGCTGTATAATAACGTGTTCTAAAAGGGCAAATGAGGAGACGTTAGTGGAACCAGTGGGGCTGAAAAATTACACTCTGACACTGTATTAGGCCGGCATTGCTGAATAATCAATCGTTTTCCTGATTAATCAATTAGTTGTTTTGTATAAATGGCAGAAAACTGTGGGAAAAAGTTGCTCAGTGCTTCCCAAAGCCCAAGATGACAAGTGTCTTCTTCTGTCAGCAAAATATTCACATTCAATGAGCTGCAGTCAGAGATTTTAGTCTTTAAAAATGACTCTAAACCTATTGATCGGTTATCAAAACCGCTGACAACTAAGAGATCAGTTGTTGCACATGATCAGCAACTTCTCCAAGGCTTCCCCATCACTGTTGTCCACTTCCAGACTTCCACAACAACATGTACCGACTTTATTACTAACGACCAGGTGAGACAACTGTGTGGATTTTTCATTCCAAGCAGCAATTTTAAAGGGAAAAGTCACCAACTAGCAAGTATTTACTTCCATCAGAGGGGCTCCGGGTAATCACAGCAAAAACACAGATGATTAAATACAACTTCTAGTCAAGCACGTCGGTTTAAAGTCTGTTTTAATATCTGCAGGCCACGAATTGAGTGGTTTTGAGGCTGCCTGGTTCCTCCAGGTGTTCCGGGAGTGTTGTCAGGTTCAAATCACAACCGTTCAAAGCGGCACACGGTCAATGTGTACAGTTTAGAGACGATCTGCAGCTCAAGTCAGCCCAATCCTGACATCGAATAATTATCAGTTAACTACGTGTCAGGCTCGTTTGGAAATATTCGCTGCGATTATCCTCCACGGAGCCACGAACGGAGTCAGACACTGCTACGCAACACTGCTAGCTCCCGTTAGCTCCTCGGGCTCGATTAGCCAGTTAGCTTGTCAGTGACGCTAGCTCGGCTGCCTGGTCCCGCTGGCTGAAAATCCGCCTCTATCCGCTCGTATTTAATAATCGCTTGGACACAGGCGTGAGATTTACAGTGTATTCCACATAAACGCCGTCCTCTCCGAGCCAGCCGCGGCGGTCGGAGCAGACCAGCAGCCTGGTGTAAAATGGCAGCCTTTAGCTTGTCGGGCTGCTCAATAATGAGTCAGGAAAACACTCCGCTAGCCGTTAGCGTTAGCCTGCTAGCTCTTTAGCCGGATTGACTGTCAGGATGGAAAAGAGCGCCAGCAGCGAACCGTCGCCGCTCCGAAACGGCGTCTTACCATCGTTGGGCCGTCGCTGTCACCGTGTGATCGCCGTCTGGATGAAATCTCGGGTCCGGGACCGGTCTCCTGTGCCGTGTTTGGCGGCTCCGTGTGTGTTTGCCGTCCGCTGCTAACTGCGACCGCTTCTGCTGCTTCGTTCGCACAAAGATCAGCTCAGAATCACGCCGCGTTCAGGCGCTGTGGGAAATACGGACGTTGGAGCTCCCACGAACTGTTTCTCACACATGCCAGGATTTCACGTTTTCAAAAGTCAAGCAACTCTAGCTTAACATCACCTGGGTAATAGATTTAAAAAATGTGAAAATATGCTCTATATTCTAATGCAAACATAAGAATCTAAACACATAAAAAGCGTCAAATGGCACAACTGTGTTAATATGAAGCACAAATGATAATTTAAAAAAAAAAAAAACATACTAAAATAAAAGAATAATAGAAACTCTCTCTAAAATAAAATCTGGCACTGACACAGGTACACTACAAAAGAAAAGGCCACAAAAAAGATCTATTAAAAATATGTGTAAAGGGTGTGATACTGTGACGCTCAAAAACGGTTAATAAATCAATAATAACAGCAAATATCTGCAGACTAGTTCTTTTTTTTTTTTTTAGCTCATTTAGTAAAATAATGCAATTGTACAGTCAAACATTTGTAAAAAAAAAAACAAAAAAAACAAACAAAACCAAAAACAACAACAACAACAACAACAATAATAATAATAATAATAAATGGGTCAGGCGAGCAGCACAATATTTATCCTAAATTGCAGCTTTTGCAATTGAAATTATTTATTTATTTTGCAGGTTTAGTTTGGTATTAATTTAGGATTTGGGGCTAAAAACAACCAAACTCAAGAATGTTTTATCAGGAAAATACTTATAGTGACTTTTGTGATTTCAGGAAGCTTTTATTTTCAGCGAAGCACTTTGTGGTAATTTTTTAAAGTTTAAAAGAAAACCATTCCTGTAAATCTCAGTCTAACAACGTTCTCCTTCAATGCGTTAAATATCTACATGTATGATTTAATTGTATTTGTTGGGCCTTGATCCTGATATTTAAATTAGTCTGGAACATTTAGATGATGTATAACATTGTAAGGTCTCAAAATGTAATGTTTAAATTAACCAAATAAACTACATAATAAAATTAATTTAATTTTTAAATTAGTCGGGTAGAATTGTCTAATAAATATTATTAATGTAGAGCCTTAATCTTAATGTTTGTATTAGTCATGTAAATTGATATGATAAATATGTATTTATATTCATGTACATAATTTATAATATAGGGCTTTGAGTCTAACAAATAGATTTTTTTCATGTATTGGATGATTTACTGAAGCCATTATATCTATTCAAATCACATTTATAAAATAGTAGTTTAAAGAAATAGGATTAATTTTGTTGTAAATATCTTTCAATTACATTAGAAACCATTATTTTAACACTTTAATCATCAGAATCCCTGTTGACTGTTCGATTTAATGAAATTTACGACACAATGAAGGCTTTTTCACGTCTTACATTCTCAACCCTGAAACGTCGGAGCTTCCGAGCGTCCCCTGAATGCAGCACTGGCGTCACAGAATGGCGTCCCCGCAATGGACTACAAACATGGCCGCGCGCAAAAAAAAAAAACAAAAAACAATCACGGCTGCTTCGACTACAGATATTGCAATAGCTCCGGCGCACGCGCAGTGGGCTGCTCCGTCCGGTCGCCTAATGTGACATTTTAATTATGCAGAAGCACGACGCTGACATTTGGCTGCGCGTCCTTTAATTCCCGAGACCTTGAACGCAGCACCAGGCTGGCTGCGGAGGCTCGCAGCTGGACGAGGTTCTGCTCAGCGCGTTCTCAGGCGTTTTTTCTCCCACCGCGGTACCGATAATATCCCATCACACTGTATTTAAACCCAGCGTTCTCCGTGATTTCCAGCAGAATCCTCCCCGTCCGGCTGCACACGGACACACGCGACCCCTGCTGGCGGAGCGCAGAACGACACAAACACGCGCCGAGCTGCTGTTTTTCTGAGGACGCGTCCTCACGACGTCCTGCCGCCGCTCAGCGACCTGAAAACACACCAGCGGAAGCTCCGACCAGGCTGGTCTGCACTAAACTACCCGAAGCTCATTTTCTCACCATGTTTACCGAGAAAATCCATCAAACCTACGGTTTTTTTTAATTAATAATTTTCGCCTCACATTTATAGTCATGAAATAAAATGTTAAAATTATTACAAGTGATGCGTTCAAGTCCAGGAAATGACACAGTGAACATAGTAGTTGCTACCTTTATGTTATATATAATATTTTAGCATCTTAAAGCTATTTTTAATTATAATTTTTTTAAATATTTAGATTTTATATGCATGTATATCTTTTTTTATAATATGTAAATATACGTTTGTGTGCCCTGCTTTATGCTATACACTATATAATACAGGTAGACTTTGATTTAAAAATGATGAGACTCAAATTATTTAGGTACATTTATATAATAAATAACATTTCAATCAGGTCAGTTTACATAATAAAGATAATATTTAAATAAGTAGCATATAATTGTGTTATGTATAACTTTGTAGGCTCTTCAATATTTAAATTGGTTTAGTAATTAATATTTCAAGTTCTTAACCTTTGTATTTTATTCGGGTAAATTTATGTCATAAATAATATTTTTCTTCGTCAAGAGTATTGTACAGTTTAACAGTAACATCTAAATAAGTTACATACATTTGCATGATAAAAAAAAACTAGTCAGACAGATCTGCAAAATAATTATATTTAATTTGTCAGGTACATTTATATAAAAATAATATTGTAGTCTTAATGCTAATATTTACATTTGTATAGTAATATTGTAAAGTCTTAAACATAAGTTTTAAATCAGTCTCTTAAAGATGTGTTTTATATTTTGTATGTTATTTAATTTAATCAGGTGATGTGTATATTAAATAATAATTCCTTCAGTCAGATAAATCTGTATAATAAACAACATTGTACTGGTCCTGAACTTGATATTTAAATTAATCACACATATTTGTGTTTTATATATTTGTAATTCCAAATATGAATATTCAGCCTGGTATAAATAATACTGTAGGCTCTCCACTTTAAGTTTAATTCAGGCAGGTAATTCTTTATTATATTGTTGTTGTATCTGAGCATTGACGACCAACAAACTGATAAAACCACATCAGAGTTCCTCCATTGTAGTGACACCGACCTTTATTTATAGAACACTTTTAGCAGCATCGTACGTCACAAAGGATCCAGAGATAAACCAGCGCCAGCAGCGCAAATACAATCAAAACAGAATGAAATGAGGAAATTTTCACACACACACCCCAAAGAACAAAAAATACATAAAAAGTATGTTTGAAGAAGAGATTTAAAAGATGCCCTGAACACACAACACATGTAAAAATAGCTTCCAACTCCTGTTTGAGCTGCCAAATACTGCACTGGCCGGACGTTTGGGGAAGTCTGAGCTTCAGAAGACAAAAATAAGAACAATCATGACGTGAAGCATAAAAAAATCTGTATTTTTATGACAAATAATTTATTCTTTTACAATGTTTGATCAAAAAAATTACATTATTTTTGCTGTGAATACATCAGCAAAAATTGTGTTATTTTGCAGATATTTGCGAGTATTTTGGGAAAATATATATAATAATTAAAGCTCTTCCTGGGGGATCCCGAGGTGTTACCAGGCCAGCCGAGAGATATAATCCCTCCAACAGGTTCTGAGTCTGCCCCGGGGTCTCCTCCCAGGTTTGGAAAACCTCCAGAGGAAGCCTCTCCAATCAGATGTCCAAACCACCTCAACTGACTCCTTTCGACGCGAAGGAGCAGCAGCTCTACTCCGAGCTCCCTCCTAATGTCTGAGCTCCTCACCCGATCTCTAAGGCTGAGTCCAGCCACCCTCATTTCAGCCGCTTGTATCTGCGATCTCGTTCTTTCGGTCACGACCCAAAGCTTGTGACCATAGTGAGGGTTGGGACGTAGATGAACTGGTAAATCAAGAGCTTCACCTTGCGGCTCAGCTCTCTCTTCACCATGATGGTCCGGTACAGCGCCTGCATTGCTGCTGACGCCGCACCGAGCCGCCTGTCCATCTCGCTCTCCATTTTCCCATCACTTGTGAACAAGATCCCGAGATACTTAAAATCCCTCACTTGAGGAAGCAACTCCCAGCAATCCGCATTGCTCCTCCTGAATCTGAGGTTCGACAATCAGCCGGAGTCTCCTTTCCAGCACCCTAGAGTAAACTTTCCCGGGGAGGCTGAGAAGTGTGATACCCCGGTAGTTGGAACACTCTCCGGTCCCCATTTTTGAAAATGGGAACCACCACCCTGGTCTGCCACTCCACAGGCACCGTACCCGATGCCCACGCAACATTAAAGAGACGTGTCAGCCATGACAGTCTGACAATGTCCAGAGCCTTCAGCTGTAAATAATGTCCACATTATAAATAAACCATATCTACATCCAAACCTGTCATTAAAGTTTTACAGCATTTCAAAGGCCAAAGTTGCAGAAACATAAATTACATATAATTTATTTATATTAAAAATAGATCTATTTTTATTTCTTAAATTTTTATGTTTAAATTTCTCTGTTTTTACCCCAAAAAGACACAAGACAGGACGCGGAAAACAAAAGTGAAACATGAGAGACTAAATCAATAGATGTGAGCTTTTGGAAGCCGTTAAAGGTGAAGAATCAGATGTCACTGGAGGGGAAGACGACCGACTCTTTTTAAACTCACCACATTTAAAATAAATCACTTTTACAAGTTAATTATGGCTTTAATTTCCCAAAACACCTGCACGAAAACGCCTCAGACCACAAACTTTGGCTCCTTTGAGCTTCTAGATGTTTTGTGAATTGGACTTTACCTCCGACCGCAGCACTCCTACAGCGAGATTGTGTTTAATGTTTATTGCTTTGCTTGCAAACTCAATTCAAGTGAAGGCAAAAATCTTAGAAATAAAAAAACTCCTCAAGTCAAATCCAAAATTTGTCAGTATTTCCAAGTCCACATCCAACGCGGCGACCTCTTTAAATAAGGCAGATCCAGCCGAGGGCTTCCAGTTTGTCGTGTTGTATAGATTCATAAAGTGGCTAAAACCTGCATGACTTCTTTCCTTTACCACTAATGTGCAAACAAAAGCACCCGACAGGCTAAACGACCAAATACAACCTGCTTCATGGAGCTCTGTTTATCTGTAAATGTGTGTGTATATATTTTAACTGTACGCGGTTGATTGAATTTAAATGTGTGGCTCGGTGCTGCAGCAGAGACGAGGCTCAGCTGGTCAGGACGGGCGCTTCCTCCATCACCTGCTGCTTCACCTGAAACCAAAGACCAGAACAGAACGCCGGTTAGAAGCAGAGAGAGGAGCTCTGGACGCCATGGTAACAGGAAAGCTCTGCAGCGACACCTGAGAGGACAGATTACAACATGCAGGTAAGAAAGTCTGACAGCGTTCTGAAGGAGATCCCTGTGGTGGATTTTTATCTTTGTTTCCCGACTTATGCACCATTAAAGGCCTCCAGAACGTTCTCCTTGTTGTCTTTACACCGTTTCTGTGGATCTTTGGTTGTTTTGGGCCATTTTCTTGCTGGAAAACAAAACTTCTCCCAAAGTGTCAGTTCTCCTGCAGACTGCATCAGGTTCTCCTCCTGGACTTCTCCTTTACTTCGCTGCACTTAGTTTACTCTTTACAAGCCTTCCAGGACCTGCTGCCAAGAAGCATCCTGACATCATGATGCTGCTTCACATCATGCACTTCACTCGTCTCCTTCTAGTGACTCCTTCAGAGGAGTCATAGGAGTCTCGGTGGCCTCCTTCACTAGTCTCCTTCTAGTGCCTCCTTCAGAGGAGTCATAGGAGTCTCGGTGGCCTCCTTCACTAGTCTCCTTCTTGTACCTCCTTCAGAGGAGTCATAGGAGTCTCGGTGGCCTCCTTCACTAGTCTCCTTCTTGTGACTCCTTCAGAGGAGTCATAGGAGTCTCGGTGGCCTCCTTCACTAGTCTCCTTGTAGCTCCTTCAGAGGAGTCATAGGAGTCTCGGTGGCCTCCTTCACTAGTCTCCTTGTAACTCCTTCAGAGGAGTCATAGGAGTCTCGGTGGCCTCCTTCACTAGTCTCCTTCTTGCTCGCTCTCTCAGTTTTTGAGGACAACCTGCTTTCATATTGTTAACTAATTGACGTTACTTAGTTTTCACGCTGACATGAGTCTTTTTCTAAATTGCTGTCAGAAGCTAAATCAAAGTGATTTAAAGTTGAAAATGCAGTAAAAGAGGAAAACATTTTAGTTGTCTCTTTGTCTGTATGTTCACCAGCAGCCGCCTGTTCTGTGAAGGAGGGATGAAGCTGTTGTTTGTTTTTGGTGTGACAGGAAGCAAACTAAAGCACAAGTTGTCCCACCGGTTTGTGTTTCCTCTTGGCCTGCATCATCTCCTGCTGCTGCTTCAGCCGCACTTCTTCCAGACTCATGCAGCCGCCTGCCAACACAAAACCCGGTCAGACAGAAAGCCGCCAAACACCAGCCCATAGGTTCACCGCCGACGTCGTCTCACCAACGCTGCTGGGGTTGATGGACACGTAGGCCATCGCTCTGCTCAGCCGAAGCTCCTCCAAGGCGGCCAGCTCCGCCTCCGCCTCTGCTCGGCCAATCAGACGGCACCAAACGGTCATCAACAACAACCACAACAACAACAACAACATGGAAAACAGTGAATTGAACAGAGCCGACGGGACGCTGACACTCACTTCTCTGGATTTCTCTCCTTTTCTTGGGGTTCGGGGGGATGACGGTGAAAGCTTTGTGGCTGGAACAGAAAATGTGACTCTGCTGAGTTTTTATTTACTTCTGTGGATTGTAAACACAACAACAACAACAACAACAACAACAAACTGGCCTACAAATCCAACCATATGTACAGCTTTTACAGGAATTTAATGATAAATAAATCAGGAACGCAGACGGAGCATCAGCTGGTGTTCGTATTAAAACCTCTTTGTGTCCAGACGTCCAAAACAGACGACAAAGTGTTTTTAAGCTCTTTGGCTGAACAGGTGGGATTTTTTTTTTGGTCATTTTTAACAACCTGTGTTTTCTTTTTGCCACTTTAGAAGCGATTTTGGATCCTCGTCTTGTTAAACTTCCCCCATCGAACCATAAATAAAATACAATATTGTACTTTATGGACTTTGATAGGTGCATTGAGACGACTGTTGTTGTAAAATGGAGCTTTGTGAAGAAAACTGAGCCAAACGGATCAAGTTCAAATCAGAATCGAGGTTTTAAACAATGCGTTTAGCAACTTTTAAGAAATTACACGGCAATATGTGTTAAAAAAAATATTATTTTTATTAGATTAGTGTCATTTTTATTTATTATCAAATGTGAAATATGGCCATAATCTCATTTTAAACAACTTTAATTGAACTTTGGACCATTTTGAACTCCGTTTGGACCATTTTTATGTTATATTGGACATCGTTCAGTCTCATTTGGGACAATATTTGACAAAGTTTGCACATTTTGAATTCATTTTTAAACTAATTTTAAGTCATTTTTGATTATTTCTTAACTCTGGACAAGTTTCAAGTAATTTGGAAGAACTTTTATTTAATTTTGGGCAACATTTAGCTCATTTTGAAGAAATTTAAATACTTAATTTTAAGAATTTCTGACTTATTTCTGAACATAATTAGTAGTTTTGTGTCATTCTTTGGGTACTTTAACAACTTTGGTCTATAATTTTGGACAATATTCGACTCACTTTGGACATTTTCAACCAGTTCTGGACAGTTTTCAGCTCATTTTGGACTTTTTTTTACTGATTGAATCCATTTTTTTGTTATGTTGGAGTATTTCATAACTTTAAACTCATTCTGGACACGTTTAAAGTAATTCTGGACGACTGTTCCCCTCATTTAGGAGAACATTTTAACTGACACTGGACAGATTTAAAGTGAATTTAAATTTTTTTTTTGTTAATTTACTGACTTATTTTTGGACATGATTAGTAGTTTCATTATGAAGTTTATCTTCTGTCACTTCATCGTTTTATCCTGTTGTGTAGAATTTCAGCACAATCACATCTAAAAAGCACATTTTTTGAGGCCACACAAGCATTTTTTTTGATGAAAAATTTCTTCAAATCAGGTTAAAATGAGCCAAAATGATCCTTTAAGTCTATTGTTGCTGCCTGGACTTGTGGAAAAACCCTCTGAAGCTCTGAAGCTCGCCAGCTGGGGACCTTGTTTGACGAGTTTGTTCCTCAAACTGTTTTAAACAAACTAAAATGATCCTTTTTGTGCTCTTTACCCACTAAACAGACGTGCTGCCATGAAGACAAGCCATGAGGACGAAGCCTCCTCCTCCTGCAGCCGGTCGAGTGTTTTCGCGGCTCTTGGTGGCAGCAGCAGGTGAAGCGTGAGGATTAACCTGCTGCAGCAGATGGCCACAGAAGCAGGTTAACTCAGGACGAATCCCAAATCACGCTCAGCTCGGATCAGCACACGAGACGGTTTCACTTTTAGCCGAGAGCAAACCAGCAGCCCTGATGGGATCCTGGATGTTCAGAGGTACCAGATCCGCCAACATTAGTTCTACATCACGTCTAAAATATGTTTTAAAGAAATGACGAGGCCCAGAATGACTCCAGCGAGAAGCTCCGCTGAAGATCAATAAAGTTGTGCAAATAAAGCAGCTGCAAGTAATTCCTGATTATTCTGCTGATTATTTTCTGGATCAGGTGATTAATTGTTTGGTGTAAATCTGAAACTCTGGCAGCAAAAAAAAAGACTAAAAATGGTGGAAAAATGTACAAAAAACAAAAAACAAAAACCAAAAACAGGAAATATCTGTTAAATAATACGTTTAATCAGATTTCAGATACATTTTTTTTTCGTTTTTGCCTTTTTCTTTTCAGTGAACATGTTTTCTTTCTGTGGTTTTATTAAATATTATCTATAATTTAACAAAACAGGATCAATCTGTTCATTTTTCCCCAATTTAATTTATATTCTTTACTTTAAAATACCAGCAGATGTCTGTCAAATAACATCCTTTATCTGATTTAAATACAGTAAAACTACACTTGGTTATTCCAGGTGTGATTATTTTTTATTTTTGTATTATTTAATGTGAACTTGAAAAACATTTTTACTCGTTTTGGAGAAATTTAAATAATTCTGGGCACATTTTGGGTCAATTTGAAGAATTTCTAACTTATATTTGGACATAATTAGTAGTTCTGTGTCATTCTTTAGTACTTTAACAGCTTTAACCTAATTCTGGACAGTTTTGGATTTTTTTTTACTGATTGAATCCATTTTTTTTTTTTTGTTTTTTTATTTTTTTTTACTGATTGAATCCATTTTTTTTTTTAGTTATTTTGGACTATTTCATAACTCTGGACAAGTGTGAAGTGATATCGGACAATGTTTAACTCATTCTGGTGTGATTTTGGACGACTTTCCCTCATTTCGGAGAACATTTTAACTGACTCTGGACAGATTTAGAGTAAATTTTACTTTTTTTCAGCTAATTTAGGACAACTTTAATAGTTTTGGATGCATTTTGAGTCAATTCAAACTAATTTTGACTCATTTTTGAACCATTTTAACTCTTCTTGGACCACTTATATTTAATTTTGTACAACTTTTTCCTCATTTACTTGAACTTTTAAACTTATATTGGACAGATTCACAGTAAATTTCAAAAAAATCAACTCATTTTGGACAATTGAAAGATTTTTGGACGCATTTTGAGCCAATTCCAGTAAATCCTGACTTATTTTTGGATCATTTTTGTGCCGTTTTGGACCCGTTTAGTCGTGTTGGGTCTTTCTAGGTTACTTTTGGGAACTTTTTCTTTTCTTTCTAACTCTTCCTGAACACTAGCTGCCCTCCGGTCCGGCCCACCTCTGACTGCCGCCCCGCTGCTCCCTCTGAGCCGCCGCCGCCGCCGCCGCCGCCTCTCGGTGCCTCACGGCGCTGGAGGCCCCGCGGCAGTCCCGGGTGGCTCTGGGGCTTTTCTCGGTCCCTCTGGGGGCGGTGGAGCTGGACCTGGTTCTCGTCCCGGAGCTGGATCCCTGCAGTCCGGTGCTGGTGCTGGTGCCGGTTTTGGTTTTCTCGTTCCTCGGGCAGCTCGACGCGCGGCTTTTACGCACAGCGGCCACTTTGAGGTGACTTTCCGCACCGCCCGCCGCTCCGGGCCTCCCCGGTTTGCGCCCGTCCGGGCTCTTCTTGGTGGCCTCCACGGGTTTGGGTTTGATCAGTTTGGTCGTAGGCATGTTTACTTCCGGGATCTGAGTCCAGGACGCGGTTTTTGGAGCAGACGCGTCATTTTCCGCCGCTGTTAAAACATATAAACACAAAATCAGATGGCAGCGCTGGTTGCTATGGAGCTCGTTCCCCAGCAACACGAGAGTCAAGGCGAACACACCGCAGCGACACTTCCGGGTCACACTTTCAAAATAAAAGCGCGCATCGTCAGTCTCCAGAGCAACAGTTTGGTGCGTAAGAAGAATAAAATCTTGGATAAAGTTGGACTTTTTTTCAGTTTTCTTGTCATGAATCACAGGAGGGAACATCTGAAGAATCAGATCTTCACTCAGACACTCTGTGCTGCTTTTTCATCAGATTAAACTTCAAGCTTTACGTTAACTTGAAAACATTTCCATGTAAGGTGAGAAAATAAATCTACTGACAGATAAATCAAACTAAAGAACATACGTTTAATAACATAGTAGTTTTGTGGCTGTTTTTGAGTCAAAAAAGAAAAAAACATCACTGGTTTAATCGCTTGAAACATTTTTAAAAATTACAGATTGCTTTTTTCACATTCGTCTGTAAAGACGTGAAATTTGGACATTTTTCTTATTTTTTCTAAAAAAAATTAAAACAATTTTCTGAAACAATTCATCTGCAATTTTTTTTTTAATTAAAAAAATTAAATTCATGCTGACGAGTATTTTGAATACATTTGAACTCGTTTGAAGAATTTCTGGTCGCGAGATTTTTAAAGCCAAATTTTTTTTTTTTAATTTTAAAAAACACCAAGAAAAAACAAAAACAATCGTTGGTTTCATCAGATTAAAAAATGATTTTTTTCTTGTTTTTATATAAAGCTGTACATTGAAATATTAGGATAAACATAAAGTATTGTTTATTGGACAAATATACCTGATTAAAAAAAAATACTAGGACCCTAATAAATGGATGTAAAATCAGATTAAAACTGATCATCAGAGTTCTAATCTGTGGTCATTTCAGCTGAAGCAGACTTTTATTGTGAAGGTCCGCGTGTCCTCTGACTGACTGTGTTCACTTTGATGCAGATTAAAGTCAGTGACGCAGAAAAAGGATTTATGTTCATCTGCTTCTCTAAAAGTCTGCAGCTGAGATCCGACAAAAGCAACACAATCAACTTCACTGTTGTTGTTGTTGTTGTTGTTGTTGTTGTTGTTGTTGTTGTTACTGAGCTCAGACCAAAACCAAAGCAGCCTGCCGGAGACAGGACTTGGACACTTTCAGCTCAGTTTTAGGACCATGTCAACAAACTGGAACTCATTCAAAGTCCTTCAGACCAGTTCAGACTCAACTTGGATGAGTTTTAGAGCCTTTTAGGAAACGTTGAGTTATTTTGGTTCATTTCAGGTCATTCTAGATGATTTCAGCTCATTTTGGAACTTTTGAGTCCTTTAGGAGAATTTTCTACACATTTAGGAAACATTTTTGACCATTTTAAGTCATTCTGGACATTGAATGACTCATTTGTACAATTTTTTGGCTCATTTTTAACACATTTAGGAGCTAATTTGTGTATTTTTCAGTCACTCTGGACGCATTTAAGGTCCTTTAATGAGGTTTTAGTCATTTGCTTAAAAAAAAGAGACAAGTTAGTGATTATTTTCTGTTTGTCCTCTCCCTGCAGTAATACTGTGTACTAGTACTACTAGTAATACTAGTACTGCGCAGTACTATTGTGTACTAGTACTGTGTACTAGTACTGTGTACATGTACCATGCAGTAGTACTGTCTGCTAGCACTATGTAGTACTACTGTGTACTAGTACTGTGCAGTAGTACTTTGCAGTATCAGCGGTTCGGTGAGTCTCGTCGGTCCTCCTGAGCTCTGAGTGGTGCTGTGTCTCGTTGTGTCTCGTTGTGTCTCGTTGTGTGTCTTTGTGTGTCTCTGTGTCGCGCGGCTACAAAGCTGCCCTTCCATCGCATTTCTCCAGCAGCGGACCGAGCAGGCCCCTCGCAGCCGCGACACGGTGGCCTCGAGCCGGCCTGAGTCCCGCCGCAGAGCCGGCAGGTGAGACGGCGGAGGATCGCCGGAGCGCGGCGGCCTACCGAAGCCCCGGCGGCTGCACGATCCACGGCGCGCACCGCGGGAACGAGCCCCGGGATGTGGTGAAATCCCGGACAAAGTGCGACACACTCACGGACACACACACACGGGTCCATGCGCATCAGAAACGGGCCCGACGCGCACCGAGCCTCGGCGTTCCCGGCCGCTGTGCGCAGCGCTGACGGCGGATAATCGGCGGCTGAAATTATTGTCTGGGGAAGAGTGACGCGGCCGCTGCGCTGTCAGACGAGGAAGTGAGGCTTCGTACACGCCCATCTGAGCCCATCTGAGCCCGTCGACCCCGCCGAAGCAGCCCGGACCCGCTCATCACCCCGCGGCGGCTCCTTCTCCAACATGCGCCCCGGTTCGGAGGGACCACGGCCGGGTTGAGCTGCGGGACGACGCCGATTCGAGCAGCAGGTAGGCGGCCGCAGGGCGCGCGGCGTGGACGTGACAGCTTCCCAAAACGCAGAGCCGAGGAGGCCTGTCTCCATCTTTCTTTTCTCAGAGTCACATGCATGATCTCTGGCCTAACTGTCACCGAGGCTCCGCGCAGATGTCAGCATCTGGTGGTCGCGCGCTTTGACGCCGCAAACACGCGTTTATTGGATCCCGGCTCGGATCTGCACCTGTCTGCAGGAAACTGTTGACATCCGGCGGCTTAGCGCTGCGGGATCAATAGAGGCGCACATCGATCAGCCCCCAACATGACTAATCAGTTATTTAGGCAGGAGGTCCGGTGTCAGGTCTCCGAGTCCGGCTCGTCCCTGGTTTGTGCTTCTAAACGGAGCATGTGTGAGGTTCTGGGTTGTTGCTGAGACGAAACAAGAGAACCTTTAATCCAACTCCAACTTCCAAAGTTAATCAGCAAAAACAGCATTTTAGGAGAAACTCGGCACAGATGTGATAATAAATCCAGTTTTCTTTCCAAGTCTTTGCTCCAGCATCACATCAGGAGTTGTGGGCAGCTCTGGACCCTGAGCCGTGGGTCTGCTGCTCACGTTGACCACCTACATGTAGATGTTAGGGCTGGCTTTTAAACAAACATGCTTCTCTGATGTGACTAGTTTCT